TCAATACCAATTTGCAGTGAATTTGCAATTATTGAAAGTACAATGAAATATTTTACAGAATTTTAATGATTTTTACGAATTTTCATGGCATAATTGAACTAAAATTCACAGTTTCCATAGATTTTTCCATAAAAAATTGAATTTTCGAGACGAAATCTTGAAATTTCCGCGGAACTATAATGTAATGAAAATTTCCAAGAAATGTATGGAAAATTCCTAATTAAATTTTTAATTTTATTAATTATTTTTTCATTTTATTGATCAATTTTCATTTGTGTAACTTATTTTCTGGGGATAAGGAACATCGTCTTGCCATGAACACTGTTAGAAAAAAAATTGAATTTCATGGAGAGTTGACTTGTAATTTTCAGAAGAACGACATTGGATTTGATTTTAAACGAAAAAAACAAAACTCCTGATTTCACTGAAAATTTAAGGAAATGTCAATTTATTGTGCAACGTAAAGACAAAAATTCCCCAACTGAAGTGAACTTTCAATAAAAATATGAATATTCTGTACGAAATTGCCCTGAATCTTCGATTAAGTGAAATATATTCATTTGGATCTTCTTCAGTTCTATTCATTTTCATGGAATGAACTGAATTTTGATGAAATTGAAGTGAAATTGACATTTTTCAACGATTTTGCCCTAAAAATGTCGATTTTTAATGAGGACATCCTTTGAAAATTGAATGTAATATCCACTATCCTGTGATAAAAAAGTTCAAGAAGTGTGCCAAAAATTTCAGTTAAAAATTCCCAACAGTGAATACAAGACAAACTAGGAGACGTTGATTTCACTTAATTCTAAAATCGTTTCTATTCCTGCAATTCTATTCGATTCCCTAGTACCTTCAATACATCTGACACCAATATTGCCTTCACAACCTCCATCCCCCGTTTATTTCTCGAGTAGTCAATTGAGTCCAGCAATTTGACACAACAAACTCCACCAAACTCGATGGCCACTGGTCCACACACGATTCCTCCCTCCTCTCCACCCCCAGTCGTATCGTTTTATCGAGAGAAGCGAGAAACTATTCGCAAATGGTTGCGCCAAAGAAGTAGAACAGAAGAATCGAGAGGGGCTCCTTCTCTCGCCGAGAAAACCGTCCACTACCGTTTATCGTTTCGTGGTATCGGGTACAAACCGTCGGAGAGTAGAAAAACCCTGGAGGTTGAGTTCAAAGTGCACCAATTTGGATAAACTCTCGTACGACCCTTTTCCCCCGTGTAAAACTCAACCCTCAAGATCGTACCTTACGATAACAATTTTCCACCTCCGTTTTTCTTCAGGGTTTATTTGTCTCGGGCAAACGTTGAAATTTCACTAGAGAGAATTTTTCAGTCTCCAATTGAATTCCATTTAATTCACGACATGTGTTACGTACATGTCGACCATTTTTCAAATTGCTTGGTGAATGTTCCTCTCCTGAATGGAAAGGAAAATTCGGAAAATTTGGTGGAGAATTTCCCCGTTATTTTAACGAATTATTGATTGATAATTTTATTAAGTCAGTGATTGCTTGCAGTCGTTAAAATCCTGCTAACTGAAATCACTAATATCAACTATGTAATTATGTGAAAATTAATTACGCCAAAGAATTATCTTCTTGGGAGACGATTTCATTTCTTAGGAGCGTGCTACATATTATGCTACACATGATCTCGAATGAACTCCATTGGCAATTATTAACATTTAGAATTATTCCAAATTATTTTACGTAAGAAAATCTCAAATTAGAACAAATTGAGAATGAAGTATTAATGAAGGATGTTCATTAATTAATGAAAAATCTGGAAAATTCAGAAAAATCTCTCCTTAAGAATATCTAAGTACCTTTTACAGTTTGTCATTGAATTATAATTTTTTTAACCATCCTTTGTTTACAAATAAATAATTGAAATTGTCTAAATTTCTGAATATGAATAATTTTGTTAGGATTACGGACAAATGATTTTTATGGTGGAAAATTGATTGTTTATAAATTATTGCTAGAAAATGCTCGTAATCTTCCTCCAAAATTTCACTGGAAAAAAATAACCAAAGTACACTGTTAGAAATTTTTTGAAAATTAAGCAATAGCTACGCTTGAATTCTCAATATTGTAAATTTGAAATCACTTTAAGATCAAATCGTTCATGGATTTTCTCATTCAGGTTGGAACTCCACGATGATTTTCAGTTGATTGAAAATTCAGGGAAATTATTGTTTGAATTTTCAAATTTCTTAACAATTTTTATTATCATGTCGCTCTCAAAATTGCAATTCCATTGAATACTCCAGAATTCAACTGATTTTTCAATAAGAAAATACATGAAAATTTCGTGTGAATGAGTGATTGCTAAAAATTTCAAGATTTTTTACTGAAAATCTTAAGAGTAATTTTCTAACAGTGTACTTGAATATCCTAAAATACCAAATTCCTCCAAATTTTCAGGGAATACCCTCAAAAATTCCCGGAGTTTTAGAAAACCTCCGAAAAATGAATGAATTATTTTAAAATTATTTTAAAATAACTCATTCATCTTCACCTGAAAATTCACGTAAATTGTGGAATTCCCGTCTTCCTGCCGCCCATTCCATTGACTTTTCCCCTTAAATTGACTTCAACAGCTTTTCCCAAAAAAATCATCCAAATTTATTACCAGTGTAGCACACTAATTACCGAAGGGACACACGCGAGATTGCCATGTATTTTTCTCTTCCTGCATGAAAATAGTGTCCATCATAATTTGAATGAACCCATTGCTTGTCACATTCTACCCAACATAAACCCATAAATCCAATGGGTTATCGATTTCACGTGAAATTGCCAACTACAATTTACAACTCACAAGTTGTTGGAAGTCGACGACTCTTGGGCGACACTGTACAACCTCGGGTATTTACGTTCATACATACATGTTATTCACCCACTCGTACGAGAGTAATGCACCAACACAGGATGGCGCACGTGCGACGAGTTTACGGCCGCCCCCTCCCCCTTTCCCCTTGTACCCTTCACGGGCGACTATGTACCAACACCATCTCCGGACGCGATAATAATTTCTAGGCCTGTGCCTCCTCCAGCAAACCAGACTATACCTTTCCACGAACAAAGAGCACGTAGCCAAGCGGTATAACGCATTACGCCATTTTGCACGGTAAAAACCTGGCAGCTACCTTAGTTGAAGTGTTGAGAAAAAAATGGGGAAGTGGGAGGGGGGAGGGAGCCAACGGGGCTAGTGGTTGAGGGATAAATCTTGAGGCTTTTAATTCTAGTGTTGGACATTTTTTGAAATTTCAGTCACAGTGTCATCTGAATTCTCGATGTTGCGAGTTTGAATTAACTTTCAACTGAAAACATTCATAAAATTGATCATTCAGCTTGAAAACTCAAGAAAATTGGGTTTCTCATGTTAAATATTCAGATTTTCGAGTGAAAACTTGAATTTTTAAACTTATTCTGAAAACTGAATAGCAACAATTTAATTTTCAATTGATTACGACTTACGAAATATTGTTGCCTGAATTTTTTAAATTTTCAATGTTTTTCAGTGATGTATGTACCTGAAAATCGAGAATTACTTGAATATTCGAGAAATTAAACGTAATAATATAGATATTCAATATACCGGTCGTAAAATCTCTTTCTTTGAAGAAATTAACCGATTCGTCAATGAAGAAATAGATAGAATAACTTTGTCGTTGTTAAAAATTTCAAGCTCAACGTTGAAATTTTTTTGAAATTTCATGGAAAATATGATAGTAATTCTCATAAGAGTGGCATTGAATCGGATTTAGGGGCAAAATAGTTATGAAATTTCCCGTTTTAGGTAGGATTCGAGGAAATTCATGAGTTTTCAGTGGAAGAGAGATGGAAATCTCACAACTTGATTGAATTTTCATTGAAACATAAATATTCAGAAACAAAATGACATGAATTTCTAATTTTTTCCTTGAATTTTACAGATTTTTATGAATTTTTACAGAATAATTGAATTGAAAAAATTGAATATTCTATTGATTTTCAGATGATTCGAACAGAAAATCGATGGAATATTTAATTTTTCAACGACAAGATTTGCTGAATTTTCAGTTGTAATTGAACGCAATTAAAATTTACTGAATTTGCCATCGAAAATTCAGAAGAATTTTCTGAATACTGGGATAATTAAACAGCAATTTTGGATTTCAAATGATTTTTTCATCAAATTGTGAATTTCCAATGACGAGATCTCTTGAGATCTCCGTGGAATTTAATCCTGGACTGCAATGTCAGAAAAAAATAGGAATTTCAGGAATAATTCAAGGGCAATTTCCAGAAGAATGATATTGAATTCGATTTGAGGAGGAAAAAAGCGTTCATTTGAAAAATAAAATCATGCAGTTGCGAATTTCGCTAACAATTCCTCGGAATTATAAATTTCTGAGCTACGTGAAGATCAAAATTACTTTATATATTCTACTTTCAACGAGAACATGTTTATTGAGTAGAATAATCAAACATTTGGCAGTTTCTTCTTGCTAAAATTGTGGATTTGCAAAGACGAAACTTCTCGAAATTTCAATAGAGCTGCTAAAAATCACTTGCTAAAAAAGTCACACTATCGCAATCTCATTTGGCCGCGAGTAAACAACATTTCAATTCAAGATGTTTTACTTGCAATTCAAAAGTATTTTTCCAACAGTGAAAATGTTACGATAATTAGAAAAAATCCCCTGAAATAACTGCACGTGTCGATTGTTTTTAAACATTATGATGAACTAATCCATACACTAATATATCTCTTGACGTCAATGAAGTCCACTTTTCTCATTTTATTTCAATTCTCCAACAATGCCCAATGGCAAGGCGACTGGAGGATTCTCTTATCTTCTCAATCCAATATGAGCAAACATTTTCCTAATGAACGATGAATATTGATAAAATAAGCTTTGCGGCGAGTTAGGGGACTGATTTCGGATATAAAGACGATCGCTTTCACCACTCACCATCGCATTCGAATTCATCAATTGAGTTTGTCAAGAATAAATTCGAAAATTTAACTTCTGCATCATGAAGTACCTCTCAATTTTCATGTTCATTGCGATGCTGTTTGCGGCTGTCACTGGACAACCTGGTTGTAGAGGACGCAATAGCCGGGTAAGTTGCACTGAGAAAAAAATTACTTGTGGGAACGAAACCAATTCGGATTGAGTATCAAATTATGATTTACGGAAAATTAAAAAATATATTAAAATTCGTTTTTCAAATTTGTATACACTAATTCTACTGAACTTCATATTAATCATTGATTTTTTCATGACATTTTGTATTTTAAATCACGCAATTCATTGAAATTTCAATGGAACTCCCACTTGATAATAATTTGATAATAATAAGCCAAAAATTTGGACAGTGCAGTTGCAAGTGATAGTGAATTAATTATCAACTTCTCGACCCAAAAAGAGGAAGTTATTCAATTATTAATTCATTTAATTTTTGATTAATTGAAAATTTAAGAATATTTTCACATGAATCTTTTTAATCTTTTGGAATAATTGAAGTGACATTTACATTATCCATTGGTTTTTTCGTCAAGCCATGAACTTTCAATGACGAAATTCCTTAAAATTTTAATGCAACTTTGACTTGGTAATAATTTCCAAGAAGAGTACCGGAAATGTCGTAATTAATCATTGTGCAGTTGATCATCAATTTTATAATGAGATTGTTAATTTCAGTGCCGATTCCATCATGAGTGTTGTGGAAGTCTACTTTGTCGTAGAGGGCGTTGTATCTGTACGTAAAAATTATCTTTCCTTAAAAGTAATTGACCAATCACTCTTCTTATCAAATTAATGAATGTCAACGTGATTATTCTTCTGTAGAAATTGAGACGCACTCAGAGGGAAGAGATACGACTCCTCGCCCCGGAATAAGATCCTGATCATGCAGCAAATCCATAATATATCGGAAGACCATCAGTTTCCTTCTAAATGATTTCACCTATAAATTTCTGTACAACAATTTATAATTTTCTGTACTTATTCTTGAGTGATATATACAATGAATATATAAATTGTATCAACTTCTTGTTATCCAATATACTGAGAATGCAAAATAAGTGTTGATAAGATATTGATTCTCCTCCGATGCATTATCTACTCAATCCATTGTGCCCAAACATTTGCATAAGGAAGACTAAATTTTGACGAAGTAAACTTTTCGGAAATACGGACGGAAATAAAGACGATCGTCTTCACCATCATCCGTATTGAAACTCATCTGTGCATCATGTAGTATCTCTCTAGTTTGATATTCCTCGTGATGCTGATTGCGGCTGTCACTGTGCAAGGCTGCAAAAAACGCTATATCCACGTAAGCTACACTGAGAGAAATGATACTTCTGCCCAACAATTTTCGACTCCACGTTGAAGTCATGCAGAAAGTTTAATGTATTAGGTCTTCCTCGAGAAAATTTGCTGATAGCGTTCCTCGAGAATTTCTCATGTAGAAAATTTATAAATAATTATAACCTCCACTTATTTTGTACCCACCCATAATGCAAATTTATATTCAGGAATATGATTGACGTCTTAATTACTATTGGGTGATACTTACCTATATCATGCATACATATATCATCTCCTTTAATCCACTATATTAAAAATACAGAATAAACGTTGATAAGATATTAATTATCTGTTGATCAACCACGATAAGGTGAATGTAAAATACTTTTATCAGCTAATCCATTGTAAGGAAACATTAGCATACGGAAGAATAAATTTTGATACAAAACGCGCGAGAGTAGTTCTTATATAAAGACGATCGTCTTCATTTCTCCTCACTCGTTTTGATAATTCAACTGTGTCTATCGAGAAGAAAGTCGGAAGCATTCATCTGTGCATCATGAGGTACCTCGCTGTATTGACGCTTCTTGCCATGCTGATTGCTGCTGTCGCTGGACAAGGCTGCGGAGTAACTGGGCGCCCGGTTAGTTGACTATTTTATAGGGAATTCATTATTTGGTGTTCCTATCTAGGACTGAAAATGATAGATGCAGATCTTCGGGACTAAATTGTTAGAAAATTACTCATGAAATTTCAAGATATCTACACGGAGAGAAATTTTTGATAAAAATTATCCTACCGTTCTATAAAAATGTATCATGAGTCATCATTTCCTCATTTCTACCCAGAAATTTCGTAAAAATTAATATGATGATCAAATGTAATTCTACGTTCGGGAAATTTTATCCTGACGCACAATAAATTTTACCCTCCCAATCCAATAATTTTTATGTAGATAACAACAAAAATTCTAGAACGGGTGGTAAATTTTAATCTACCGGCATGGTAATTTTTATTTTTATCAGGATAAAATTTCTCTAGCGTACACTGATTGAAAGGATTAGTTATTGTTAACAAGTGGATTTAGTTGAAACCTAGGGTCTATTCGGTCTCACCAAATATTCGTTCGTTAAAGGTGAACAAATGCATATTTGAGAAGCTTTGTTTGACTCGAGTTTCACCTTTCAAATGAACCATTCGTTAACTATTAATGAATATTTATTTGGTCATATTCAACTCTACCGTTCGTTAATACTTAACGAATCTAGTTTGAAATAAATGAATCATCTTATCAGTGTAGAATAAAATCTGATCATCATATATTAATTTTTACTAAATTTTGGGGTAGAAATGAGGAAACGATGATTCATAATAGACGTTTATAGAACGGTAGAATAATTTTGATGGAAAATTTCTCTCCGTACACATATAGATGTTGGTATTGACGAATCAATTCATTTCTCAAATATCCAGTGAAAATTCAATGTTCACGGCTATACGACAATCAATATTATTGGAGATTCAATTGAATGTGGTCTTAAATTTTTACAATAAATATTGGAATTGAAACTGTTGTTGAAAAATTAAGTATCACCTGGCATAAAGAAAACTCTATTTTGTTGTTATTGAGGTGAACTGCATCTTCAGGTTTATATAAATTGGGTACAATGTTCACTGAAATTCTACTAGAATAGCAACCCACTATACACAGGATATCATAATGTAGGTCATGTCAATGAAATTCTACGTGACATACAATTATGAATTGTCCATTTTTAATAACTTTTTTTTGATTGTAGTGCTTACGTAAAGCTAGTTGTTGTGGAATCCTACAGTGTCGCAACGGGAAATGTGCTGGTTAGTAGAAACACTCTTGTCCGGAAAAAATTGGCCAAACAATCTAATCAATAAATTCTGATCTCATCGTGATTGTTCTTTCTCAGTGTGAAGTCACCTCCAAACGGAAGAGACACGAGTTTTTGCGCCAGGATAAACGACGAACCGGAATTGTCATGCGGCGAGTATAACGTATTAAAAGATTATGTTCTGAATAACTTAGATGTTGTTAACGACTCAAATATAATATTCCTTGAGAATTTTTCGTGAGAAATGTTTGTCATTACAATCTAGAATTGTTTTTTAGTCATTACTAATGAATGTATGTTATCAAAATATATGTTTTCAAGGTCATTATCGACTTCTTTACTATTATCTTGATACCAGAATCCGAAAATTCATTCGAAAAGAATTATAGAAAATCAAATTCAAGAGAGAAATAACGGAATTTCATAGTTTAGTGGCAGTTCGAGGGAATTTTAACGCTTTGACGAGAGAGAAGACGAGAATTTCCTAATTTACTTTGACTTTTAATCAAGTCGTACGTATTCACTTACAATACCACGAGAGGCTTAAAATTATTGGACATTTCTCGATAGTTTCGTTGCAAGCAACCGAAGGAGTCAAGTTTTTCAGGTTAACATATCACGAGTGATTTTTCCTGAAGAACTTCACAGCTTCGGTTGTGTGCAGAGAATTTTGAGGGAAATACCAAATTAAAATAATGTCCTGACTTGATTCAAAATTCATTAATATATTTACCACCATTATGGTGATTGTCATGAATTTTCAATGAGAAATTGAACTAAAATGTTGAGGTTCAATCGATTTTTTCATCACATTGTGAATTTTCAATTCCGAAATCTCGAAAATTTTAGTGCAAATTAGAGCCGCAACTTCAATGGAATTAATTTATTTTCTCTTGTATACTTTTTCGGGTTTTTACGATTTGTTCCCTTCCCACCCCCCAACCCCCTGTTCCGCATTCGCCGAAAGACGAGGGAAAACCTCACGAAACTCCCGCTCGACAGTTAAACTGTGACATTAGAGTGTTACAAATTTTGGCTCCCCAGCCGGGTATCGAACCCGGGTCGCTCACGTGCCAATCCCATACTCTAACCACACAGCCACGGCCGTCGATGCAATGGAATTATAAATTTTCAAACTGCAGAAAGTCAAAAATTTCTTTATATATTCTATTTCTATCTTTTATATATTCTATTAAAATAGAAAAGTGGATCAAGAGCACCAAATTAAGCTGAATTTTTCACTTAATTTCAATGTCAAGAATATATTTACCTACATTTCTCTTATTTCTTATTATTCATTTTCGTAAAATAATTGAACTGAAATTTGCAATTTCTTCTTCATCAAGTCATGTTTTTTCGAAGACAAAACTTCTCGAAATTTCAGTAGAACTGTCACTTGATAAAATTTTCAGGCAGTGTGGCCATCTTCCAAAAATATTTGTTCAGCCAGTGTAGTCGAAATAATTGGTTCCACTGGAGTGTGAATTTTGGGATATTGAGAAACCACTACCTGAAATAACTACAAGTGTCGATTTTTTTTAAACATTATTTTGGGATAATTCATACTCTAATATATATGTTGACGTCAATGAAGTCCACTTGTCTTATTTTATTTTAATTTTCATCCACAAAACCCAACTACAAGGCGAGTGGAGGATTCTCTTATCTCCTCAATTCCACATGTGCAAACATTTTCCGAGGCAAAGATAAATGTTGCTAAAATAAGCTTTGCGGAAAGTCTGGGAGACTCTCATCTCTGTTATAAAGAGGATGTCTTTCACCACTCTCCATTCGCATTAGAATTCATCGATTGGGTTCGTCAAGAAGAAATTCAGACAAATTAACTTCTGCATTATGAAGTACCTCTCAATTTTAATGCTTATTGCGATGCTGCTTGCAGCTGTCTCTGGAAAACATCGTTGCCGAATACGCTATAGCCCGGTTAGTTGCACTGAGAAAAAAATACTAATTTGTTCAACGATTATCTATTACATTGAGTACCAAATTATGGTTAATGGAAAATTCAAAAATATCTTCAGATGAATTTTCATACAATTGCGTAATTAATTAACAATTTTGTAATGAGATTTGTTCATTCCAGTGTCAATTCAACTATGAATGTTGTGGAGGCCTACTTTGTCGTAGAGGGCGTTGTCTCTGTATGTAAAAATTCTCCTATTCCCCTAAAAGTAATTCAATCAATGTCATTATCAAATCAATTAATTCCATCGTGATTATTTTTTAAGGAGACAAATTCAGAGGACAGAGATACGAATCCTCGTCCTGAAATAAGATTCTGAGCGGGGATTGTGGCAATCGGCGAATTTAATGTATCAGAAGTCCATCAATGTTCTACGAGGATATTTCACGTGCACACTTTATTATACATAAAAAAGAATCGGTGTTAATGTCTCTAGTGTGAGGGATTGACTTTAATGATTTCATTTCTGTGTTACAATCAACTCTTTTTGGGAGTTCAATTCACCCTCACCCCTGAATGAAATTTTTACGCGCAGTAGATTTCTATTTTTTACACCAGACTGCATTGATTGTCATGATCATGTTAACATGATGGCTGTATTAATTTTCATTCCATTCATTACTCAAGTCCGAAACGAATATAGTCCGTACATCCACCCCGAAAAATGGTGTGAACTTGCTTTCACACGTTTTAGTGTAAACACAGATTCGAAATTCATTCAAAAATTTTTACTGTGTAACAATATAAAATTGTTTTGTACTTATTCTCAATGAATATACATAATGAAATTATATTTAGACATTTTATCGACTACTTAATCATTATTCCAATACCATAATCCGGAGATTAATGCCCGGGAAATTCTAGAGAACGAAATTTCCACAGAATAAGTCTTATAAGAGGATTACAAGTGATTATTTTTTAGTCTGCGTCTGAGTGAACACCTTTTTATTTCTAGTTCATGGTATTCCCGCTTCAATTGCTAATGATTCCGCAAGTCTTTTTTTACTCCTCCGTGTTTCTTAGGACTCGTCAGCAGGATGCGCAAATTCTTCTCATTAACAAAGTCCTTGTCCTCTTAAATGAAGGATTTCATTATGACGAATTCATGGTTTTATTAATATCTCGAAAATCGAGGCATTCGATTCGTTTTTTCCATAATGGAGAGAGCGGAATGCGATATTGGTGGAATTGAAACTAGTATTAATTATGAGATTACGCTTCATGTCAGAGATGCGCAGGGACGCGTCGTCAGTCTTGTGTAGAAGAAATAAAGAAAACACGGCAGAATAGAATCTTTCTCTCAAGCTGTCTAAATTAGACGTCATACTAAACGTGTTGTCATCCAATATATTGAGAATGCAAAATAAGTGTTGATAAGATATTGATTCTCCTCCAATGCACAACAGCAAGGTGAATGAAGAATACTCTTATCTACTCAATCCATCATACCCAAACATTTGCATAAGGAAGAATAAATTTTGACAAAGTAAACTTTTCGGAAATGCGGAAGACTCTGTTCTCATATAAAGACGATCGTCTTCACCACTCGTCATTCGTATTGAAACTCATCTGCGCACCATGAAGTATCTCTCTATTTTGATGTTCCTTGTGATGCTGATTTCGGCTGTCACTGCGCAAGGCTGCAAAACAAGCAATATCCACGTAAGTTACAGTGAGAGAAATAATACTTCTACCCAACAATTTTCGACTCCACGTGGAGAATATTTTATTGAAGGGAGCAGATTTACTTGTGGGAAATAAACCATTCCGTTGGAAGAAAATCGAAAAGCATCAAGAATGTGAAATTTTTTTCGTGAAACGTCATTTGATGTGAGGTAACTCCATATGAATTGACGGCGGAGCAATATTATTTTCCCAATGTAACTCGATTCTCCTAGAAAGTGGTCACTTTTGGCGGTGACCGAAGCCCATGAAGATTCGTTTGAATGCGTTCAATGACAAAAACTCCGTGATATGTGATATGAATTTTTTCAATGAGATTTTTTCGATTCCAGTGCACTTACACTCATGAGTGCTGCAGAGGATTACGTTGTTGGAGGCGATGCATATGTACGTAAATTTGATTTTCCTAAAAACAATCGAAGAATCAATCTCACCACTGAGAGAGAGAAAGAACAGGTTTCTAGGATCAAGTTCATTCTTGAACAAGAGTGGATAGTTTTCCGAATAACCCACTCAAGTTTGTTATGATCAAGATTGTAAAAATCTTGTTGATTAAATAAATTTTTACAATCTTGACAATTGGTTGTGACAAGGTCGAATGAGTTATCCGGAGAAATATGCAGTCTTGTCAGAAAAATGGTCCGATTTGACTCAATCTTTAGAGGAAGTACATGACGACAATTTTTTGGTCCTAGAAATTTTTCGCTCCCAGTTATTGACTAAGTAATCGATCCTATCGGGATAATTCTTTTTCAGAAATGGAGACAAATCCAGATGAAGGCGACGCGAATCCCCGTTTCGGAATGCGATGCCGAACGGGGATTCTGTCATGCAGCAAAAACTTGCCGTTGAGATACCTAGAAATAGCATTCCTCGAGGATTTTTCTTCAGGAAACTTCGTAAATAATCAAAATGTATAATACTTTTGTACCTATCCTTGTAGGCCAAAACGTGAAAATTCATGCAAAAAAAAATTTTATAAAGAAAAATCAAATAAAACAAAACAGAATTAATTGTACAGAAAGATCACAAATCTATTTCGTCCGAATGATGTATGCGAATTGCGTTCAAGTTACCCAATTGAGTGATTATATGAGAAGTATATTAATCTTCTTCACTCCAATATATTAAAAATACATAATAAACTTTGATACGACATTAATCATCTGTTGAGCAACCACGATAAGGTGAATGGACAAAACTCATATCTCAATGTATTGCGTGCAAACATTTACATAGGAGAGTATAAATTTTGATAAAAACTCGGGAAAACATTCCTCATATAAAAACGATCGTCTTCATTTCTCGTCAATCGTATTGATAATTCGACTGTGTCTATCGAGAAGAAAGTTGGAAGCATTCATCTGTGCATCATGAAGTACCTCGCAGTTTTGGTGCTTCTTGCGATGCTGATTGCTGCTGTCGCTGTACAAGGCTGCATACAATCTGGATATCCGGTTAGTTGAATATTCTATGGGGAATTTATCATTTAGTGCGCTTATCTAGAACTGAAAATTATTGCTGCTGATACTCCAACGTACAATAATGAATTATGTATTTTTGATGACATTCTTTTGATTCCAGTGCATCACACATAAACCTGATTGTTGTGGAGTCCTACAGTGTCGTGCAGGGCGATGTGCTGGTATGTAGTAGCTCTTGTAATGTAACCATTATTCGTTACAAACGGGTTAGAAACAACAATGGTCAATAATATTAGATTTTTACAATATTAAAAAGGGATTATCTCCTTATATTGGTCAAAGTTTAACTATATTTCACAAATTAAAAATATTATAAAAGTTATTAACTAAATTTTCCGATTGATGGTAAATAAAATATTTGATAATATTGAAATGTCATTTTTTAGTTAACAAACTAATTCTAAATTTAGGTACTTGATTTTCGATTATCCAAATAATCGTTGATCTTTCTACCTAAATTATTGGTTGATAGAATATTTCAAAATTTAAATGTACAAATTAATGATTAATTTAATATTTAAAATTCTAAGATTTATGTTAAAAATTGATAACTTCACAATTTAACCGTAATTATGATTGATTGATATGCCTATCAAATTATAAAATTACATGATAAATTGAATTTGGTCAGTACACATGATGTCCGGAAAATATGAAGATTCGTTACGCATTTAAGACGTAATAATAAGGCCCGGTTGCACCAAGCCCTATTATCTATATAAACCCCAGGGTAAAATTTATCCTCGGGGTCAATTATATCGTAGGGGTCATACTTTTTCAATATTTGACCCGAAGAATAATTTTTTATTTATCCTGCAGCCCCATTGCAAGTTCGAGAACTTGCAACTAGCTATCGCCCGAGGGCCTTCAGCCAGAATTAAATTTTATTTTTTGTTCCTGGGATAAATTTGAGATACTCTCCCGGATAAAATAATCCATCAAACATCCAAATTCACTTTTTTTCTTATTTGACGTTTTCGTTACCCGGAGCTGGTGGAACCGGGCCTAACCCTCAAATATTACTTTTTTGTAATAATATTTCATTTAGAAATATTATCTATCAATGACTCTGATAAAATATTTTATAAAAATGAACATTGCTCAGTTTTCTATAAATTTTATAAATGTACTTCTTCAAGTTATTTATTTAAAGATAAATAACAAATGTATTCCATTTCTTTATGTTTAACTGAGTAGATGTGCAGATAGTTTTATTTTTTGTAGCTTGTTCTCTAGTTTTGTTCTTCATATTTAGCTCATTTCCCTAAATTCCTTTATTACATAATTGTGATTTTTTTCTCACAGAGTAAAGGCGCATTCAAACGGAAGAGCCACGAGTCTTTGCTCCAGAATAAGACGACGAATATGAATTTTGTATGTAGCAAGTTCAACATATTAGAAGACCATGTTCTGGGCACCTTGTGTCTTGTTAACGACCCAAAAATAGCATGCCTTCTGCGAAAACGCTGGGGACTCTGCTCTCATATAAAGACGATCCCTTTTGGCGCTCAACACTCGTGGTGAAATTCATTGACTGTGATTATCGAAAAGACAGTCCGACAATTCATCTGCGCATTATGAAGTATCTTCTTATTTTGATGTTCCTTGTGATGCTGATTTCGGCTCCAAAAAATATTTCAGTCCCGGGACCGGGATATTATTTTATTTTTTTTTATTGTTAATTCATATTGAGAATAATCCCGGATCCCCTCCTACCTCATCCAAATCCTAACCAACTAATTTCCTATGACGTCACAAGGATGTGGAATGCTATATAAATTCCCTTCTTTAATGAAGGAATCCGGGTTATTTTTTTTACCAAAATGTGAAAATTCATGCAAAATGAAAAATTAATAAAGCAAGATCAAATAAAACCAAACAGAATTAATTGTACAGGAAGATCACAAATCTATTTTCTCCGAATGATGTATGCGAATCGCGTTCAAGTTACCCAATTGAGTGATTACATTATATGAGAAGTACATTAATCTTCTTCAATCCAATATATTAAAAATGCAGAATGAACTTTGATACGACATTAATCATCTGCTGAGCAACCACGATAAGGTGAATGGAGAAAACTCTTATCTCAATCCATTGCGTGCAAACATTTGCATAGGGGTATAAATTTTGATGAAAACTCGTGGAAACTTTTCTCATATAAAGACGATCGTCTTCATCTCTCATCACGCGTATTGATAATTCGACTGTGTCTATCGAGAAGAAAGTTGGAAGCATTCATCTGTGCATCATGAAGTACCTCGCAGTTTTGATGCTCCTTGCGATGCTGATTGCTGCTGTTGCTGGACAAGGCTGCGCAGCCACTGGGCGCCCGGTTAGTTGATTATTCGATGGAGAATTCATCATTTAGTGTGCTTATCGAGAACTGAAAATTATTGCTGCCGATATTCGAACATGCAATGATGAATTATGTATTTTTGATGTCATTCTTTCGATTTCAGTGCGTAAGTAAACCTGATTGTTGTGGGATCCTACAGTGTCGTGCAGGGCGATGTGCTGGTATGTAGAAACTCTTGTAATGTAGCCATTATTCGTCACAAACGGATTAGAAACAGGAATGGGCAATAATATTAGATTTTTACAATATTATAAAGGGATTATCTCCCTATATAGTTCAACGTTTGACTGTATTTCACAAATTTAAATTATTATAAAATTTATTAACTAAATTTTCCGATTGATGGTGAATAAAATATTTGATAATGTTGAAATATAATTTTTTCGTTAACAAGCTAATTCTAAATTTAGACACTTGATTTTCGATTATCCAAATAATCGTCGATCTTTCTACCTAAATTATTGGTTGATAGAATATTTCGAAACTTAAATGTGCAAATTAATGGTTAATTGAATATGTAAAATTCTAAGATTTATGTTAAAAATTGATAACTTCACAATTTAACGGTAATTATGATAATTATGATTGATATGCCTATCACTGATTAGAAAATTACATGATAAATTAAATGTGGCCAGTATGAGTGATGTCCGGAAAAATATGAAGATTCATTACGAATTTAAGACGTAATAATAAGGCCCAGTTGCCCGAAGACCTATTATCCAAATAACCCCAGGGTAAAATTTATCCTCGGGGCCAATTATATCGTAGGGGTCATAATTTTTCAATATTTGACCCGAAGAATAATTCTTTATTTATCCTGCAGCCCTATTTGAATTAACACTGATTTAACCTTGGGATTAAATTTTATTTTTTGGTCCTGGGATAAATTTGAGATACTCTCCCGGGTAAAATAATCCATCGAACATCCAAATTTACTTTTTTTCTTATCTGACTTTTTCGTTACCCGGAGCTGGTGCAACCGGGCCTAACCCTCAAATATTATTTTTTCGTAATAATGGATGTTTTCATTTAGAAGTATTATTCATCAATAACTCTTATGGAATATTTCATAAAAATGAATATTGTCCAGTTTTCTATAAATTTTATAAATGTTCTTCCTCAAGTTATTTATTTAAAGATAAATAACAAATGTGTTCCATTTCTTTGTTCAGCTGAGCAGATGTGAAGATAGTTTTATTCTCTGTAGCTTGTTCTCTAGTTTTGTTCTTCATATTTAGCTCATTTCCCTAAATTTCTTTATTACATAATCGTGATTTTTTTTCACAGTGTAAAGGCGCATTCAAACGGAAGAGGCACGAGTCTTTGCTCCAGAATAAGACGACGAATATGAATTTTGTATGTAGCGAGTTCAACATATTAGAAGACCATGTTCTGGGCACCTTCTGTTTTGTTAACGGCCCAAAAATAGCATGCCTCAAGCATTTTTCATGAGAAATCTTTTAAAACGTTATTATAATCTATAATTGTTCTGTACCCATTTTTAATGAATATTAAATTTGGAAAATATAATATAATAATTTTATTCAGCATGTATACCCTTTCGGGCTTTTACATTTTGTACCCCTCCCTGTTTCCCCTGATATAAAATACAAAGTTATACAATTTGGAAAATATATATTCAAGCATATTATTGACTTGTGTATTATTGTCTTAACACCAAAATTAGAAAATTCATTGAGAAAAAATTGTAGAAAACATAATGCTAATAGAAAGAACGGTACTGTTAGAAAAACTGAATGTTCATGAACAGTTGAGTAATTAATTGTTAAAGAAACAATATTAAATTCGATTCAAGGGGGAAAGAGTCACGAAATTTCGGACTTCACTGACAACTCAATGAAATTTAAAATTCTTAAGCACCAGGAAGACGATAATTCCCCGACTTAATTAAATTTCCTTAATTTTCATTCATTTTCATTGACTAGTTGAACTCAAATTTACAGTTTTCATTGATTTTTTAATCAGATTTTGAATTTTCAATGGCAAAGTTTTTAAAAGTTTCATTGGAATAGTCACTTAATGAAAATTCTCACCAAGTGTACCGGAAATTTCAGCCGAAAATTTTTAACAGTGATGAAAAATCTATTGGATTGATTTTGAATCAGAATTCTCAATTAAATTCTTATTGAATGCATGATATTGATTATTTATTGCATTCGCCAGTCTTCTCTCGATGAACTGAAGAGATCACGCTGGAATAGACCTTTCCTGCGAAGCTGTCCAAACGACACGTCATAATGAAGCCTATTGTTATTCTCCCTTATCCCAATGCATAAAAAATACAGAATAAACTTTGACAAGATATTCTCTCTCGATCCACAGCCAACCATGAGGCTAATGCCGAATACTCTTATCTGCTCAACACATTATGACCAAACATTTGCACAAGGAAAAATAAATTGTGATAAAGAAAAATCTGCGAAAACGCTGGAGTCTCTGCTCTCATATAAAGACGATCATCTCTTTTACCGCGCAATACTTGTGCTGAAATTCATCAACTGTGATTATTAAGAAGAAAGTCGGGGCGATTCATCTGTGCATCATGAAGTATCTTTCTATTTTTATGTTCGTTGCTATGCTGATGACAGCTGTTAGTGGACAACGTTGCCTAGGACGCAGTGCTCGGGTAGTTAATTATGTTATTAGATGTGTAGAAAAATCAATAGAAAATCTAACGCATACGTATTACGCTTCCTATTGTAATTCTGTTTGAATTCTATCAATATTCTATCCTAGTGAAATCACGATTTATCGATAATATTCGTTCGATTTCAGTGTGTATTCCATTGGCAATGCTGCGACAACAGGCGCTGCTTTGGAGGAAATTGTTGGTGTACGTAAAAATTTTTTTCATTTACGTAAAAAATCGATTTCATCTGCAAATCAATTAATCTTCAAAAATCGAAAACATTTTTTTTCAGAGATAGAGACACATTCAAGCGGAAGAAACACGAACCCTTTCTGTAGAATAAGATGATGAGCAGGAAGTTGTGTCGTGCAGTAAGTCCAATACGTTGAATCACCAAAAAATGAAATTTGTCTAGAATTTTTCAAGTGTAAACTTCATTTCTAAAATATAGAATTGTTTGGTATCATTTTTTAATGGTTGGATACAATGATAATATACATTAAGACATATCAACGACTTCTGTATTATGATTTCTAAAAAATCTGATCATTTATGCAAAGAAGTTCTGGGAAACAAAATCTCAATAGAATTACTTGTGAAGGAAGATTGCAAATCTTTTCACTTCGAGTGATTATTCATCGTTTAAATTATGATTTCCGTCCATTTGTAATTAAATGAAAGTATTTGTTATCACGTAACACTTTCAAGAAAATTCATTGTTAATCCTTTCAGTCATTCACCAAAACTGATGTTCATTCACGATTTCGTCTGACTTAGAATGAACAATCCACTTGCGTCAGATATTTCTTTTCACATCAATGAAGACACATTTGCGATTGATACTCTGCTAGTTATTTCCAATTTTCTTCAATGTTTTTATGATCAACGGTCTTTGCAGACTTGTTAGTATATAGTCTGGAGCGAACAAAAGGTCAATTTTCCAAATTTATCCTTCGGATTGAACGTGGATTCATCATATCGAATTTTGATCAAGACTTTGAATGGTTAGACCGCACCATTCTTTCCGCCCGAGTTGTGTACCCGAGACCTTGAGCATGTGAGATCATAAGATCGTCAATGCCACCGTATAAAATCGGAAAAATCCTCTTCTCTCACACCGAGGAAAAAAATTATTTTTACCAAATATTCATTTACTTGAGAGAAGCATTTATTTTTTCAAAATCATATTGTTCCTATTGAGTCATGCTCAGGCGATCCTGAATAGGTTTCAATTGTGACCATCATGTTGCTCTACAGGATGACTATGTTGGATTTGACCTTGGATGAACTCCTCCAATGATTATTCACTTTTCCTCAATTTCTTATTTTCTAGAGGGAAGAGTTTGATTAATTTTTTAACGTTGGTAATTATTGACGGAGTGCACTGAAGGTGATAACTAACATCATCTTCTGGATCAATATAACTCAGTAGTGAAGTGGTAAACGGAGATAAGTCACCTTATCTCCCAGTTGAGTTTTTCAGGAATATTTCCGAAACTAAGGGAGATAGCGAAATTTTCATAATTACATTTGTTGTAGCACTCAATCGGCTCCACAAAAAAGGTTATAACAAAAATGTTGCTATCTTCCGTAGATTCTGAGATATTGATTGAAAACTGGTCAATAGTCAAAATTGACGTATCTCCTTTTACCACTTCGCCACTGAATTGTCATAATTGGCACCGAATAAGGATTGCCTGGGAATGACTCGACTGGAGAAATACGGCATTGAAAAAATGAATACTTCTTTCAAGTAAATGGATATTTGGCGAAAATATTTTTTTTTCTCAGTCAAACCTTGTTCTCTCCACCCCTGTAACTTTCAGCGATTCGCCAGCAAGCAGCGCTACTTCCCCACCAACAATATTCCATCTTCCTTTCACTCATCCATCCCTTCCCAACTTTTCCACCGTCACATGTTAGACGTTGCACGTAATCATAATATACCAGTTTTACACCGTTTCTCACAAGTGGATGAAGAAGGAGCTGACTGCAAAGCCTTCCGGAAGGGAGAAAGTGGCATAGGGTTCATCCTCGCAAAGTTTTACGAGATCCTTTGGTCGATGAAATGATCAACTCACCGCACAGGAAATTTCCGGGTGGTTCAAGATATGTATGAAATCCCTCGTCTCCCTTTCAGCTTCGAGCGGTGGTGAGGTAAAGGGCTCCGTTGGAACAGTCAAGACGACCGTTTTGCAAATTACGAGTGAAGCTATACCATCTCCACCCTCTCGATGCCGATGGGTATTCCACGTGCAGGCTGTAAATGTAAGGCAATGGGGGGAAGGGCTTGGGATGTGCTACACTACGTGTAACTGCACACAGCACGTACTCAAGACTTCAGACGTTGTATCCTTCACAACGAAAGGAGATGCGGGGCGACGCGAAGTTCCAGTATCTCGGGGAGTTTGTAGTACGTTTACATGACAGGTACAGCGCTTGTGCAGATTCTACAGTCATAAAGGGAAGGCGTCTATCGTCTTGTTCGCGCCCTTCTTGTTGTCGACGAAATAATGCTTCGCCAATTTGTAAATAATGGAGTACTTAATTAGGCGATCGATGGAGTAAAGCTGTTCAGTATTTTGGTTATTTCAATATGATTTGAGGATTATGACCAACGCCGCACATTTTCATTCCACACTGAGAGAAAAACGACAAAGTTCTCAATCAAGTCTCACTTTTGCCACCGGTAAGCACGTGGGTAAGGTGCCCCTTGGTGGGAAATATACTATTTTCAGTTTTTACTTTTTCCACATACTTTTGAGAGTTCTGAATAACCCGTCGCTTAAATAGTTGGAATCACCATTTACATTAATCGGCAATCGATGAAGAATAGCTGTTTAACGTTTTATACCACAGTTACTTCCCAATTTATCATATGAATTGATAATACGATATTTAATTCTGGTTAATTCTACTCATTGTTGATGCTGTATAATATTTGAGAGATCACAGTGGGTTGTGGGAAAAAAAGTATTCAATTGTTACCAACTGCTGTCGAAAACAATCGGGTTCAGCTGGCATTCATTATACCCTGAGGGAGTTTAATCGAAAGCTTATTTTCGAAATATCTCTATCGTGAATTAATGAACTACATACATAACTACATACATAACATCATTTATAACATTCTACAGGATTGCGCCTTCAGGGGCTGCTCACAAACAGGAGAGGGGGAAGGGGATTATTACAATAATTACATAGGTAATTTCACTCGATAAATTGTAGATAGAAGCCTGGTTTTGTTCCTCAGTTTTCAACGAATTTAATTGAATACAGAGACTACCGCTCATTAGCATAATTAACCAGAAAAACTTTCCGCTGAATTTTCGGATGCTGCTAAATCCAGCTGGATTTCCCTACTGCTACAGGGGTTGGTAAGCCGATGAGCCGATTTACTGCTCAAACTCGAGAGATCACAGACGTAACCGAGATATCATAATGAGCTTCGTGGAAAATGGGAGAAAAAATTGGTCGCGCTGCTGTGATAGTCGTGGTATGTGGGGTGGGGCAGACGGAGTGTCGTTCTTAGGGTTGGACCCGTAATTTCCGATGGATTCTCCGTTATTTATGTTTATTTGAAAATAATGTGCACAGCTCTCATCATGAAATATGGGGGTTTTTATCTTTGGCCGACATGTTATGGCGGTTTTTCTCAAGATTTCTTTTACCCCCATTTCCCTCCCTTAAAATTCTGCTACATGTTCGCTGTTTTCAACGGAATCAAAATGATCAAGGAAAAAATTATTGAGAAAAAATAAGTGAAGTGTTTAGAACAACAAATAAGACATCATAATTTTGAAACAAAAGATCCTCGAGTGAAGCACCTAGAATATCAAGAATGCATGTCTTAACGTCTTCATTCGAGACTCCAAAAATCCCTTGGATCTGGGTACATAA